GAAGTGGCGAATGACCGCCAGCATCTTCGGGGACATGCCGAAGCGTCGGAGCACGTCCCGCAATAGGTCTCGGTCCACCGAATCGAACGCCTTGGTGCGGTCGACGAAGCACGCGAACACCGCAGTACTCTTCTTCCTCGCGAGCTCATGGAGCCGCTGGATGGCGAACAGCATGTCGAGCGTCGACCGGTGTGGGCGGAAACCGCTCTGCTCCTCCGGGAGGATGCCCTCTCGCTCGCAGTAGTGGCTCAGTCGTGTAGCGACGACCTTAAGCAGCACCTTGCCGGCGTGTGCGACGAGAGAGATGCCCCGGTAGTTGCCGCACTCCATCGTGTCCCCCTTCTTGAACAGCACTTTGATGGTGGCATCCTTCCACTGCTGTGGTACATCCCCCGTCTGCCACACGTCCACGACAGTGGCGTAGAATTCGCGGAAGAGATCTTGATCTCCGTCCAGGAAAAGCATGATCATCATCAGCTCAGCCGGTAGGTCGTCCGGCCCGACGGCCTTTCTGTTGGTCATTTCCCGTACCGCTTCCTCAACCTCAAGTAGAGATGGGATGTCGTCGAGTGGCACGCACGTGGGCCACCGCTTGACCTTGTCAGTATAGATGAGTGTACTACACGACGGGGATGATGCCAAAAAATCACAACCAGCCAGATTGCACCGCTCGAATCTGAAACCGTTGCTACTTCCTCCGCCACCGCCGGGGGCACGCAGATGCGAATAAACCGCGGAGCCCGTCAGAATCAGCGCCGCGCACGCTCAGCTGGGTAGTGTGGGAGTGCCTCCGCTGCCTGGATCTCGCAACACTCAGTCAGTATGGCGCGGAAAAGGATGAGAGTGATGTCTCCTCAGGCTCTTCTCTTCGTGGTAGCAATTGCGGTGACTGCTTTCTCAGGGTTTGCGGAGGCGTTCAAAGACCCGCACAACAAGTTCTGCGGCGAGGACGAGTGCTACGCGGTGCTGGGCCTCCAGCGCGGAGCAGACAAGGCTGACATCAAGAAGGCTTACCGCACCATCTCGCTGGAAGTTCACCCAGACAAGAACCCGACCGCTGCGGCGAAGGAAAAGTTCACGGTGCGATTGATTGCGTCGTCTTTGCGAGAATCTCTCTGTACGTGTGACATTTTTTCGCAAGAACTCGCTTGCCGTAGGGTGCTAGTGTGCTGGCCGTCGGCGTCACATGTGTGAACGTTTGAACCACCAGCAACCGCTCAATCACGAAGGATGGACACCATATGCCCCGCGGGTGCAAATCGATGCATTCTTGACTCTTTGAAGGTTCTGAGTCTCCGTAGAGCTCTTGTGTCTATCTCTTTCTCACCCTACAGCGGTGTTCCTCCACCCTATGTTATCTATGGTCGCATTTGATTGGTACTCCGCAGTTGGTGCAGAGATGCAGACACAACTATTGTAGTGACATACTCTTTGTACTCCTTGCATGCCAAAAGAGCAGCTTTGCCCGCCTATGAAACAACAGTGGTCTTTCTTCGCCCCCAGTGAGAGTTCCTCGCGCGTTGTTTGTGATTACAGCTGCAGTGCGCTGGCAAAATCGACCCACCTTTGCGCCTCCATTATCTGTAGATTAGCAGAGAACCTTTTTCCTTTGGGTGCTGTGGGCGGATCACGGTTGCTGGTGAGGAGCACACCGGCAACGACAACGGAGGATAGTATCAGCTTTCCACGCAGCGAGTGGCCATGGGTTGGAGTGCGAGTTTGGCTGTACTGCTGTAGGCTTGACATAGACGAATGTGGTTTCCAACTGGACCAAGAGCACCACATACGGTACCACTTTGTTGTCCCGCATTCGTTCCGGCCCTCTACGAATACCAGTACGACCTACGAAGCAGTCGTGGGATTTCCTTATGTAAGGTGGGGTAGGCTTGTATTTTGTGTGCTTGGTGCATGGTCTGCAACTTTGATAGGTACCGATCACCAACAGCATTCGGCGTGAACCGCGACCGTACAAACATAAAGGAAGGAGTGTGGTGCTCCGCTGATACCGCGAACACAGTTCAATAAAAGGAATGCACGCGTACCTCTTTGCGGCAGCTCGAAAAGAGCTCAATCTTAGATTTGGGGGTCGGTGCGATCGCACCTGTTGCGATCTCATGAACTTCGGTGCCCAAAATCGCTTTAAATCTTGCCGCTCTTGTATTTCGCGCGCACCCGATGACATCTCCGCCGCTCACGGTATCTAGCGCCAGATTATTCCACTCAATGAACGGGCAAGGTTTCCACTGATGCTACATGTACATCATGTCGCGGTGTCGGACGAAACACCTTCCTCGGAGCTCCCCCGGTTTCCTCTAGGGGAGAGGCTACCTGAAGCGTTGTTGACCTCTCTCCGATATGGAGAAGGGGCGTGGGCAGCAGTAGACCGCGTGCCCGCGGGGAGGGTGATATTATGCGTCACATGCCGCAACGTGACCTTGCTAGGAAATACAAGTATATGCATAGCGTACAAAGAGAGGAAAACCGTTCGAGATACAATCGTTGCGAGGCCCGAAATTACCGGCAGTACAATCGGAAATCAATGGATGGGTATGAAGGTGCTGTTGGTTTTCCCGAGCGGCTTCAAATCCATGCGCAACTGTTTTTGTCAAGTCCCTCTCGCGCCTTCTGCGAGTGTTCGTCCCACATGTAGTCTGGCGCCGGTCTTCACACTCACACCTTTCAATTTGTGTTGTTTGCCTCGTGAAAATGCCACCGTCATGACACAAATAGTAAGCTTTTTGTATTTTTTGTATGTACCACGCTTTTTGTGTCTCGCGTCTCACACACGACCACCCCTATCGCCGCGACGGACGCAAGCAGAAAGTGGCCAAGGCTTACGGTGTCTTCATGGACGAGGAGCTGAACAAGAAGTACCACTTCTTCCTTGACCACCCGGTGAGCCGATCGGACAAAAGCCGGCGAGCAGATTGGGCAGCGTTCGGTAGCTCTACAGCCGTTTGCAGGGCGAGCGGCATACTGTTGATGATGCGAAGCAGGAGCCTGCTTGCGGTTCATTTGGCAAGCAGAGAGAGAGAGATAACGTCGGCCGCGATGAGCAGGATAACACCCATTGCAAACTGTGCAAGCGGGCGAACCACGTTTCTCGGTACTCTACAGCCCCGTATGCCGTAGGCAGGCGTGACGTGATTCGCCTGGACGTGTATACCAAGGCCCAGAAATTCCGAGGAAAATACCTGACAGGAAGAGGACCGCCCACCCGCCAACCACACCGCCCTCACGCACACCCATATCGGATCCTATTTTGTCAGGACGCCTACTGGCTCGAGTATGGCCACCACTGGGTCATGCGCTACGCGTCCGCCTCGGATGTACGCGGCGTCCTCCTCGGCCTTCTCGTGCTCGTCTCTTTCTTCGCCTATGGCATCCAGCACACGCGGTACACGACCGCCGTGAGATATCTCCGGAAGGCGGCCGAGAAGAACCTGGGACCTAAGTCGGGGGGCAACGCGGCGGTGAGACCACTGAGGGGGGGGGGGGGGGGGGGGGGGGGGGAAAAAAAAAAANGGGGGGGGGGGGGGGGGGGGGGGGGGGGGGGGGGGGGGGGGGGGGGGGGGGGGGGGGGGGGGGGGGGGGGGGGGGGGGGGGGGGGGCGTACTCTTATGTTGTGCATACCTTAGCGGTTAAACCGTTGACCACGCGTGCTCGAGAGGATGGAGCATTGAGGTGAGACCACAAGGGGTCTGTGTGCAGGTCATGGTAGTACATACGGGGGGGAAGTTGATCAAAAGGTTGGGATGGGAGGTGTGCTACGAACTAACGCACCGCGATGTTGGCGGCCGTTTTTATCCCCAAAGCCTTTCGATGGTTTGCAGTCAGTTGCCTTGACCCCTTCTGGGTCTGTCTTCTCTAGGGGTAAGCATGCGGCTCGTAGTCGCCAGTGCAAATGGTCGGAGCACGACGTACCTACACGACCCACATTCTTTCTCGGTGCTTGCGGTTTCTCGCGTCTCGGGTGTTGCTTGCAGACACGTGGGTCATTTTTTTTTACGTCCGAGAAAGAACCACCAAGAGTTGCGTTGCGGCCTTTCCTTTGGTACCTTGCCTTTGTGCTATGTAGACCTTACCTTTGTTTCGCGTCTGGCTATCATGCCCCCCCTCCCTCCATGCCTGTGTTGATCGTTGTGTTTGCTGCTCTGGGTGTCGGGTCGCGGCACGTAGACCATGCAGCTGAGGAGGGAGGCGGAAGCCCTGCTCGCCGAGCGCAAGGGAGAGGCCCAGGGGGGCAAGAAGAACGGGGTCGGCTCTAAAGGTACGCAGGGGTGTGGTGATGCCGCTAACGCCGCTGCTCCTGCAAAGGAAAGAGAGGAGGAGGCGAAAGCAGCAGCGGCGGCGCCGACCACTTGATGACTCCCTTCTGGGGTTGTCGGTGCAGAGTAGAGGAGATACGTGGGCAGTACAATGGTGGGCTTGTCAGAGCTACGGTAGGGGTTGGAACAAGGCCGCACTCGTGCCAAGGGTACATAACTGATGGCAGTAGCATACAACACCAGCAGTGTGTCACAAACAGCAGGGTCCGTTCAAGCAACGAAGCGGCCGCCCTGTGCACACGTCGCGAGCACAGCACGGAGAATGCCGTTTTCGAGTAAATTTAGGTACGCCCCATCTTCCCTACAATTGAGCACCCAACACCGAAAGAGGAATCTCGACGTCGTGCTTGAGAAGCAAGCACTTTGTTGTCGTACTCTTGACGCTCGGCCGTCCGCCTCCTCTCAAAAACTCAAAAACGAAGCAGGGAGCAAGGTAGTAAAGCAGACCCGCAAGGAAAAGGAGGCCGAGTTGGCCGAGGTGATCGCCGAGCTCTCGCTGCAGGTGGAGATCAAGGGCAGCTGCCGCAAGCCCACGTGGAGGGACCAGCCGGTGGTGCTCCTCGCCATGCTTCCCGTCCACACTGCCACGTGAGAGAAAGACTGCGCAGAATTGCAGGAAGACTGTTAACTTCGGCGTGTAAATGCGGTGCCAATAGTTCGTTCTGTCTGTGTTCTATTCTATTAATAGCGCAAACAAGTTCGCGTTCTTACGCAGGGATGACTTGGCCTATGGTGGTCACCGACTCGAAAAAAACAAAAATCAGAAAGAACAATGTTAAGATTGCTTGCGAGGCAAGTCATGTTGAGCCAGTGCCCCATCAAGCGGAATTTCAAGCCGCTACATATCGTCTGCCCAGAGTCGAAAATTGCTTAGTCACTTGAGTTTGTATGGATTAATCAAAACATGCACAGTCTCCGTTAGGTTCGTTAGGGTGCATTGATGTGCGGTTCGTAGAATCTGCTGCATGTCGTCAAGCGCCACGCCCCAGATGTTCAAGTTTCTCTTTTGTTAGTATGACCCAACGAGTCCATCTCTCTCTCTACCTAAGAAAACAGTCCCGTTAGGTTCGTGCGGTGTATGAGGTGCGCGGTTCGTAGAACCTGCGTGTGGTAAAGCGCACGGTACAACGCACACACACGCCTCAGAAGTTCCAACTTTATTTTATTATGTTATTATGACAATCTCTGAAAAAAAAGAGTCAAGCATAGATTAGCAATGCATTTATTGAACGAGCAATGCACACACACGGCCGAGAGTTCCAACTTTCTTTTTATGTTGTCAATTTTGACCTAAGGAATCCATCCATATCTATCTGAGAAAACATTCAAAGATAGAATACCAATGAAATTTCGAACGAATAATTTCTGACAGGCATAACTTGTGGACATTGAACTCGTGCATGTTAATTTTCAAGTGTGGTCGTTGGTGCACGGGACAACGCACGCACACGCCCCGCAGTTGCACACACATACACGGCCCGGAGTTAAACGATTTTGGGACGAATAATTGCCAAGCGAGAGAACTTGTAAAATTGGAAGGTTTTATTTGCGTCCGGCGGCATTTTTCCGTTAACCGTCGAATGACCTCTTCCTAGTGACGGGGTACCACGACAGTCCCGTTCACAGTCTCGTTTCCGACCCGAAAAGTTGAGATGCATTGCAACAGGGAGCACAACAGGGCAATAACACACGCCCGACGAACCTGCGGTAGTAATCTGCAGGGCTCGGGCGGGCACTTTCGACGTGGTGGGGCGGGTACCATGACGTCGCGGTCGCGGCTGGTCCGACATTATAGAAATCATGGAACAACAGCGCCGTCGGGTGGGCCGCTCGGCCCGCCCCCTACAATTCACTCTGTCAGCATCCTCCCCCGAAGAAGCGCATACTGCTGCTTCCACTCTATCTCTTAAAGACACGAAGATTGTCTTGGTTCTTCCGGAACACTGTCGTCCTCTTCGACAAGTCGGCTTACTTTCTCCGACCCTCTCGTGCATCGTCTGCGGTTCATCGTATACCCCCATCGCGACGCTTGCACAATGCACACACAAACACGCCCCCGAGTTGAAGTGTTTGGAACGAATAATTTGCGAGCGCTAAAACTTGTCAAATTTTTGTGTGGGAAGTGCAGCCCCCTTCGTGCCCGGGACAGAGGTGAAGCGAAGTGTACACAACGTACGGCCGACGCCCGCAACGTACAAGCAACACGACCGACACACCATGGAGCCATGGAGAGCGTTCCGTAAGCGGCTGGCAAGAACGCCTCAAAAAAAGACGCCGTTGGAAGAGCACTTAGAGTGAAGAACACGGAGAGAGTTTATTTCTGGTTCCCCCATATGTACTGCCCGACGTTAGCACCGTTGGCGAGGGAAAGGGACGGCTGGACCCTTCTCGCGATAAAAATAAAATGCAGCACGCACCGCAGGAGGAAGGTGGGACATGAAAATAAAAAGAAAGAAGAAAAAAGCCCTGGTGTTTACCCCCCTCCTGTGTGACCCTGGATGGTTGTAGTTGTACGAAAAAATACACTGAAAAGTGTAGTACTCTACATACGCTGAAAAGTGTAGCACACGTCTCACCACGAAAAATGGGGAGACTGTCGCCATAATAAATAGGACGAAAACACACACACACACACACACACACACACAACACTCCCCAAACCTGAAAAATATTTAATTAAAATCACACCCCGTATATTATATATCGTTCAACATGTGCATATGTTTATCAATCGACAATTTGTTGTATGTTTTTTTTCCACCCGTATCCGTACAACACGCATGGTTTTGTGGTCACCCTCCTTCCTTCCATGCCCAGTTACCTGTGGCACAAGTTTCAGCTGGTAGCGTCGAAGCTGACGAAGAGGGAGGTGACGGCGTCGGAGCGAGAGTACTGGGCCCGCCGTTCGGTGGGGAGTAGCACGTGGGACGATCTTGACGCCGAGACCAGGTGCGGACAGTGGTGTCTACGCAAGTTTTTCTAATTTAGCAAACTGCTGGATATAGTACATAATCGACCATGTTGTGGTTGGGGTCACACGGCTCTTTGTCTCTTTTCGAATTAAACTTACGTCCTTTGCGTAGGCAGTCCGCGGTAGTCTACGCAGTTGTTTCTAATTAATATACGGATAAAGTATAGAATCGGCTAAGTTGGGGTTTGAGTCTGCGTGCCCCCTGCCTCCTAAGAAGCTTGTTCTTTTTGCGTAGGTGGTCCGGTGCGGAAGCGAGTGTATTGATCGCCCCCAAAAACAGGACGATCTTCTCTCACGCGTGGTTTGTTTAGATGCAGCGGCCGTGGCTCGGATGTACAATCGGAGGGTGGTGTGACCCTCGTGTATCGGAATAAGTTGGACAGGAGCACGATCAATCCAACGTTACAATGGGTGCATTGGTACTTAGAAACAGGGGCAATGATCATCCAACAACTCAAGAAGGACGTTGATGAACGAAGCCTCTGAGGAACAATGTTAACTGCTGTGTCACCAGGCGAGAGTTGAGCCATATGTGATGGGCAGCAACTGACAACGCGGACAACGTAACTGCGCGACACCGCAAGCATGTAACGACTTCGAGAGCGAAGATCGGTCCTTGTTCCTAAAGATGGCATCTCTGCCGCCCAGCAACATACCTTCTTGAATCCTTGAACCCACCGTTGGGCATGTGTGTTAAGAATCTTGTTCAAGAGAAAGAGGAAGTTTCGTTGGCCTAGAGAGCGGCGCATCATATGTTGCTGGTGATGCATGTCCACATTCCGTGTGCTTTCTGACCTGGACCCCTCCGTTACCGCCACCGCGGGTTCCGGATCCCGCGACCTCCTTCCTGCCCGGGGAATATGGGACGGTTTCGGCCACCGCCGACGCTGCAGGGCCGCGGCCACGGAAGGCGACGCTTGGAGGGGGGGCGAAGCGATGGAGGATTGGAAAGAGGTATACCTTTACGGGGGGGGGACGTCCTCTTCCAAGGGGCTTCGGAAGCGCAACAAGGTCGCCAGCGGAAGCATAATGAAGGGGGTGCTAGGGGAAGGGCCGGAGGTAGAGTACTAGATTTCTTCAGGTGTTTTTGCTGGTTTAGTCCGCGCGCATGGCACGGGCGCGTCCCCTTTGCTACAGCCTGTTTTTTGTTTCGATCACGAGACAAGTGTTTGGTGCGTCCGTTCTCTGGAGCAACCGCGTGTTGCGGTTTCCGCTTCAGAGAGGGGCACGCAATTGGTGAATTTCTCGGGGGGGTGTTTGTTTTCCCTTGGGGGGGACTCCTTCCTCTCTACCCCAGCGATGAGTGTCTCTCGGTTGGTCGTTTTGGCGGATTGTACGTGGCGTGGGGGTTGTGGCAGAGCCTTAGCCTTGTCGGTCGAGGCGTTTAGGAGGTGGGGGTGGGCGGGTGGGGTTGGGTGCGGGAGGTGATGGTGTGAGAGCTTTCAGAGGCGCTTTCTCTCTCAAGGCTTGTGGTTTTGCCTTGATGGACCGATCCTCGGCGAAAGGTACGGGGCGTGGCACTGGTGAGCCTGCAAGAGACGGATAGTGGCGGTAATAACGCCGACTTCCCCGAGCGAAAACGAGAGAAGGCGGGTAGAGGATAGGAACGGGCTGGTTTGCTTCGTGTTGAGAGGCAACAGCGCTGTTGCGGGCTTTTGAGTCAAATGCCGACAGAAAGTTGGACAAACGCAAGAGCCCGCTTCGCTGCCATGATCGGTTAGCTTTTGTATCCGTTTTGCAACTCCACGAGATGCCTATTTTCAGACTCGAGCAAACATGTGTTGTGGGTTTGAAAGTGTTACGAGACACGCCAAGGCTGGTGCGCTGTGGTCCTTGTACGAAGCTTGCGGGGTTCGAGTCACACGCACCCCTCCCACCCCGTCTGCAGAGACGTTGATGGCGCACTTCCTTTAGAACGGGTGGTGCCTTCCTTCCTGACGGGGGGTGTGCGTGCACTGCTTGTCGGACGTCGTGTCGTCTCCTACGGCAGTATCATGAAGACCCTGCTGCGAGCCCCGTAGCCGGATACACGACCTTAGACTACAAGTGCTTCATCCGCCCCAAGACATGGCTATTTGCGGTCCTTTTAAGGGTATATTGAAAGTCTAGCGCGATGGGAGCAAAGCTTTTCATCCCGAGACACATGATACCCATGTTTTTATCGTTGAGAGGCACAAGTAGCTTACCAGCACCGGAGGATATCCTGGGCTCATGAAAATTCGGTGATGCACACGCACGCACACACGTGCATTACGTTTGGCCACGGAGCCTCCAACATAATCACCCCCATGCAGGTATTGCGCAGCAGCTACCAGACTTCATTCGGGAAAATCGATGGCGAGAAGCTTCGCAATCCCCTCCCTAGCTGTGCTCCCACATCGACCGACGATGTTGAGGAAGGCTTGTTCATCTCCCCGAGCAACCGCATCCTGCACCTGAAGGACAGGAAAGACGGGAGCGAAACTTTGTGTCGTGAACAATCACGCGTCTCTCTCCAGACATAATGTTGTCGGGTCAGGATAAATCGGCCACAGAGTGCCGGATCCAACGTGGCACTAAATTAGTACCCAAGGCACTTCGTTGGCACATTTGTTGTGGCATACGGTGAGCTGTAGAGTAGGGATGATGCGACAGTGTGTGGGTTTTATTCATGGGTTTCTCAAGGCCTTGATGAAGCACGCGCGAGGGTTCCGCAACGCAACGCCAGCCCCGCCTCTTCACAAGAATCCGGCATACATTCACACCTGCTGCGCCAAAGCCCGCGTGATCCCAGGAGGTAGCGGCGCGGTCAGGTGTGTAGCGTCGTCATCCAACGTGATTTTCGAACCCTCCGCTGGTGACTCCGTCAAGTTCTGTCGGTCGCTACTCTCGTCTGCCATTCCTTCCCGATCAAGATCTTGGTTCGCAGCGACGCCTCCAGTAATGGGTTTCTCCCCGCCGACCGCGCAGTCTGCAACTCCCCCTTGCCTTTTGCGCCAAGCCTTGCGAGCCCCCCTGTCACAGAGCCGCAAGAGCACTTCGATTGGCACGGAAGCAACTTTTTCAAGCTGTGATCCACTTAGGCCGCCTTCGCCATCACCACCACCACCACCCCTGCCGCCGCTACCACCGCCTGCATCACCTCCACCAGCACCACCGACACCAACACCAATATCGCCGCTGCCGTTGCCGCTTCCGTTGCCGCCGCTGCAAGCCTTGCAGCGGGTCTCTACGCAACCAAGCGGCCCGTTCCGCACCGCCGAGAGCACCTCGTCACGAAACTTCTTCGATTCCAAGAAGAGCTGGTTAAACGGCGCAGCTGACGAAGAACAGCAGCAAGCGTCGTTGTTCCTTGCCACCACCATTCCATCTTCTTGTTGGTGGTGGTGTCGCTGCTGCTGTGGCTTACACCTTACCCTTGTTGGGGTCGTCGCACAGGGTGACGGGCTAGTGTTAGCGCTAGCAGAGGCGGAGCGTGGCCGGGAAGGACAACCGTCGTGACGCCACGGCGACGTTGTCTTTGTGGCGCCACTCCTGCACGCGTCGACGCTGTAGGATCTGACTGCCGCCGGTCTTAGATTGTGGGGGACCACGCAGGATGGTGACGGCAGCATCGTTGTCTTTTTCCCTCCTTCTTGCCTCGACCGACTGCAAGGCTCCGACGGCCGTTGCAGAACCAGATCGTCGGTAATAATGTTGTTCTTGCCTTTCATCTCAGTATTATTGTCAGAGGCACCATGAGGAGTCGGCGTTGCCGCTGTGGCTGGTTCTCCCGCAGCGCCGTCTCCCGCAGGAAGGCCAGACGACCGATCCACTGCAGGATAGGATACTGCTGACGAATATTGAGTAGCGCTGGCATGGTGCTGTCTTTCGCTTTCAATACGTGACCCCACGACCCTTGGAACCAAAGTGGCGGTCGTTTCATCTTTACCGAGGTATTCATATGTGCTCTCACCATCAGTACCAACATCAAGGGGCGCCGGTGATCTTATCACGTCTTCATCATCTACCATCCTGCCGACCAGTTCGCGTTCTTCAGCGGGCATGTCATCAGCGAGTTGCTTGACCAAGACACGGTTCATCTCCTCCAGCTCTGCCTTCTGCCTCAAAGCCATTTTCATGCCAGTCGCGGAGGCCTTGGCGGCCGACTGAAAGACTTTTCCCTGCATTTCGGCGTTGCGAAGCTTATCTCGCCACTGTTTCTCGGCCACTACAGTCCCCACGGCCCTCTCGACGGCAGCTCTCTCTTCTCCAGCATGCCACTGGCCTCGTCCTTTTTCGGTGGTGATCGAGCTCACAGCAGCACCGGAAGTCGAGAGAACCTTTAGGCGAGCTCTAGCTGCGGCAAGTCTTGCAACCGAATCGTCAGTAGCATCACCGCCACCCCCAGCATTGCACCTAGCCCTTGTCCCAACAGAAGATTGAAGGGTGACAGCTGCTACCCTTTTGTCCAAGCGCTTGTTCGCCGTTCGAAGAACTTCGAGTCGCTGCGCGAGCGACTCCCTCTGCGCTTCGGATTTCTTCAGGGCCGCCGTCGCCGTCCGCGTTTGCTGCTCCGCATTCGCACGACCCCGAAGGCAGCATCGCAGCTCTTGGGTGACACTTCTCCTTGCCTCCTCGGCAGCGGCTCTCGCGACCCGCTCAGTCTCCAGCTGCTCAGCAAGGCTAGCCGCTTGCTCCAAAGCTTCCAAGCCTTCGGCAGCTTTCACGGCTGTGAGCTGCTGCGAGTCGACCAGCGCCGTTTCGGCCTCTCGTAGTCGATGTTCCAGGAGCTGGGACGCGGTGGTGATCTCTTCGAGAGAGCGGCCACCAAAAGATGCGAGAACCCTTTCCAGCTTCTCTCGTTCGAGGTCGGACTCGGTGGCCCGTAGCTGGAGCTGGTGCAACGCGCTGGTGGTTGTCGAGTAGAGGAAGAGATGGGGGGGGGNGGGGGGGGGGGGGGGGGTGACTCACTGCGTGGGCTGCACTGTTGTACTCTACATTGAATGCATCACAGAGGAAGTAAGCGTGGTTCATGGATGGAAGCGATAGTGGTTGCTCCCGTATGTTTCTTACTACGTGATAGAGCAGGGCCGTGAGTGCAAGTATGCTTCTCGGTAGACTTCTCAACACACCAGTACTAGCCCCACCACCACCACTTTTACGGTACCTGTTTGAATTCGCATGCCGGTGTTAAACAGCCTGAGTTCACCTCGTCAATCGCGTGCGATCTGTGCCACGTGGACGTCTACAGTAATTTTACCTCTCTGCAGCGATCCTCGCTCTTCTCTCTTTCTCAAGCTCCAAATCGAGCTGCTTCAAAGATTGTTTCGCCTGCTTAGCTGCTGCTTCAGCTGCCTTGCTCCCCTCGGCGTGAGATGAAGCTCTCACTCTATCAAAACCATCCGCTGCCGCTTTGTTTCGTTGATCAGCTTCCATTCTATTTAGGTCATCCGCTGCCTCATTCCTTCGTTCTTGCACGCCAGGGTGTGAAGTTGCTGCCTTCTTCGCCGGAAGATTGGCTTCCGCCGCAAGACCGCTATGCGACTGCTGAGGCGCTTCTTCGGTGGCCACAGCCGATGGTGGGATGTGCGTGCTATTCACGGTAGGTGCCAACGGCTTCGGGGCTTCATTTCGCCGAATGTCTCCTTCAGCGACAGCCGCCGAGCTTTCGGTGGCTGGCGAGCATGGCAAGCACTGATCTCCTTCTTCGCCGTCCAGGCCTTGGATTTCTCTCGAGAGCAGGCCAAAGGCGAGCTTGAGCTCTTGGAGCTTTGAGGCATTTTCGCTCTTTGTTCTTGTCCTGTTTAATGCTTCACCTGAGCCTGTTGTAGCGGTTGTAATTGTTGCTTTCCGGGATGAACTAGGCCCATTGGAACAGGGAATCTTTCGCGGTTTGGGCCGCCACAGCTGTTGTGGTGCTGCCGAAGCTTCAAGATAGAAACTGCCTCTCTGGCTTGAGGATGATACTACAGGTTGCCCACAGCGGGATGACATGTAGGCAGAGCACGATGGGAGTTGTGAACGGCGAGGAGGAGCCTGGACAGAGAAGAGAGAGAGAGAAGGGGAGATAGCGCGCGCGCCAGCACGCGGGTACCGATCGCGGATGTACTCCGATCTGGGTCAACCACCACGGATCCGCACGGTAATACTTTGGTTTCTCTCCGGAACCGCACCGCTCGGGGAGTCTCACATGTAATTGCGCCGCATTCGCTGCCTCGCTTGTATGGATAGCGCAACGGACATAGTACAGGAGGGACATGGAGGGGACAGGCGGGAGTAAGGGCTGCCGCTGCGACGTGGACCATTCCGTCGCGAGGCTGAATGGCTTATTTGAGATGGTGGATGATGATACGTGCGACGTAACGTTTGTCGTGACGTCCGTGGCGTCGGCGCAGTCCAGCTCTGAAGGACTTCTTCCACAACCGGCGGGGACACCAGAGCGGGCAAGACCAAGGACTGAAACGCTAGAACAAGGCTCGCATAGAGGCGACAACTGCAGTGACAAGAATGTCTCGGGTGCTGGAATCGCCGATAATTACAGAGCTGGGAGCTGTGAAAATAGGGAGAGGCAGCGGGGCGAGGGCCAAGAGGCCTGGGACGGAGGAGGAAGGGGGGCAACAGGCGGGGGAGAGCTGGAAACCGCCAGGGAGGGAGCGGAGAAGCTAAACCAAGGAACAACGGGCGTCGGCACAACAGCGGTAGCTACCACCAGTTCTGTGTCATCCACGAAGTTGAGCACCTGTTCTCCTGCTCACGATACCTCAGGCAGCACCAGCAGCAGCCTGGGCACTACTAGTAGAGAGTTCAGGTGCCATCGTGTTTTGTTCGCCTCGTGCTCGGCGTACTTCCGCGCTCTGCTGTACGGCGGTATGAGCGAATCGGAAACGAGGAGGGTCGAGTTGAGAGACGTCACGCCGGAAGGGTTTGAGGCCATCATGAGATACGTCTACACCGGAAAAGTTAGCGTGGATGCGGGTAAGTGAGAAAGAGTCTACAATAACGGCCGCGGGGAAAATGGTGGGACATCCTTGTTGCAGCCGTTTCTACAGCAAGTATGTACTTGTGCAACAGCAAGCACGAGAAGGCTTTCATGTTATCAGAGCCTCTCCCAGTCGGAAGAGGAGACATACATGCTCGTGTGCCTGCACAATTATGAGTTCACACTCACCACCGTCGTGAAATGAGACGCCCACCGACTCACCGAACCACACCGCGCCCCGACCGATTTGATCACCCGCCCGCTTTCAGCCAACGTGATGGACATTTTTTCGCTGGCACACCGGTTCGGGATGGGCGAGCTCCTGAAAGCTTGCGCGGAGGTCTTGGACGAGTGCCTGAACTGCGACGATGTTTGCCGGGTGCTGGAGGCGGCGGAGTACTACGGACACGACGAACTTGCGGCCAAGTGCTGGGATCTCATCAAGGACAACACGCCCAGGTGAATCAACAATTCCATAAAGCCGGGGGGGCCTCTAACAAGTGCGTGTTATTTAGTGCTGGTGCCGATGTTTTGTGGGTGAAGTTGGCTGGCACAGATGGAATATTCAAGATGGTTACTACCTTGAAAACTGTCCGTGCCGGCTAAAACGCGGGTGAAAGCGCATGGCACTTTTCCGCACTGTAGAGGCCCTCCGACTGTATGGAGATGCGCACCATGTGCTTGTTCACCTCTAGGGTTTGTGGGGCCGTCGTCTGTCGCCTTCCGTCAGCGTAAACGAGTGTCACGAGATTAAAGAGGCGCTTTGGCGTGTGGGCGTGACTTGTGGGAGCATCGTAAAGACAAGGTAGCGTCCTGGGCAGATCACCTAGGAAATGGCTATCTGCATGCCACGGACGAAGTGAGACGACGGTGACAACAACAAATGACAAAACAACGCGAACGATCCTCCTCTACGTGACCCCTGGTGTGAACCCTGCTAGATTGTGTAGTTTTGGCCGCCCGTTCTTGACACATGTGCCCGTTTTTTGGACGATTTTTTTAGCTCGAGCGTACTCAGCCGCTCGACGCCCCCGCCCCCGCCCACGCCCTCGCTTCCCTCTCCTTGCACTACCTCGCCCTCTCGGCGCTTTCCTCCTCTCTTCGCGTATCTGCCTTTACCCCCCTCCCCACCCGGGTGTCTCTTCACGACATGACATGTGGGATCAGGGTGTTGAAGAGCGAGAGCTTCCTGGATCTCCGGTCGCAACAGGTGCTGAGCCTCGTGAGGGAGGGAGAGCTGCAGGTGGATGAGGCCGAGCTCTTCAAGGCAGTACAGGCCTGGGTATCGAGAGATACGGCCGAGAGGCGACGTCACGTTGATGAGGCGAGTTGTGTGCGACATGCGCAGTGGTTTGCAGAAGTTCTGTGCAGTGCAGTGCTGCAAAAGTGTGCTCGCGGCAGAGTAGTTCCCCCCTCGCAGCACAGGGTGTGCCTGCTGTTGCACCTACCTCTGTCCAGCAGCAAACTCTGTCGCCGCCTGCAAAGCTGCTGCGGTGTACGGGGGGAGGGGGCGCTGTTGGCGTGCTGCGGGGATCGTGATGTCCGGTGCGGGAGGTACTGCTTGAGTGCACAGTGTACTGCGCTCTTGTCTATTGCATAGCTATACAGTTTCCCTTCACGAGCTCAATAAAAGCAGTAACCCCCTCTTTCTGCTGCTCCTCCTGACGCTGCGTGCTAGGATCGTTGTCTAGCATGTTGCTCGTTTTCTGGATCAGATGCGTATGACATAAACATCGAAGAGCTTAATACGCTCTTTTCTTGGAGTTCCCCCCCCGCTCCCACCTTCGCCATGAACCAGTTGACTACCCCCCCCTTCACTAAGTGGAATACACACGGCTTTGTGTCGAGGCAGCGCATTCCCGCCATTTCCACACACCGTCCCCCAATCAACCGAGTACCCCCGCCATTCCTTCCGCACATTTTTTTTTCTCGTCGCCGCAGCTGTCTCGCCACTTTCGCCTCCCGCTCATGTCCCTGAAAGAGCTCATGTCGGTCGTCCGGCCGACAAACCTGATCGCGGCAGACGCGATCCTCGATGCCGTCACGTACCACGCGGATCCGACAAGGTGGACGGGCGATTGCTTGATGGTGAGAGAGAGAGAGACACACACACACACACACAGACAGAGATAGAAAGACACCACACGAGTGCACACCCTGTACCATCATCCCAGTGCTGGGTTCTACCCACCCTACGGTCCTGTTTTGCCAAGGAGGAGCTCCGTTCGGCGGTCCCACGAGAGAGGTTCTCACCTCCTCTGTGGTATTTACATGTTTGCAATACTTCAAATATCAGCGCTCACGCACACAGCATTTCTGCAGGGTAGGAGCCCCAGTCCGTACTCACTTACATCACACAGAAAGGTTATTCCGCCCCCTGCGGCCCCCTATCTATGGGTTAGTTATGTGCCGTGACGTACTTATACAGCAGTAGATGAGACGTATTTAAGATGCACGTACAGGCATGATGTTACCAGTAGTTAACCAGCTTTGTTTGGGCTCCTCTCCCTTCTTTCCCGTCTCCCGGAAAATTCTGCCGAATTCGTGATGATATTTTCTGTCTGATTCGTCGAATTTTGCTCGGATTAACCGCAATCGTACAGTACTGCGCGAGGGAAGGGATTGATTTACCCTTCTCGCGATAAAAATATCTCAGGCAGGAACCGCAGGAGGGGGTCCAATCCCCCCCTCCTATGTGACCCCGGTTGGGTCGTCTAGCTGGTAGAAGTGGAGGATAGGGGCCAGAGGGGCAGACGACAGTGTCCAACGATGGGAGAAAAAAAAAAAAGTACTGCACGGAACTGTGTCCTTTGGTGGTGTCAGCGGTTTGCCCCGACGCCTTTCTCCCCGTGAGTGTCTCCTCTCACCATCTCTCGAGACTGCGGTTGTTGGCCGTCCCTCCCTCACAACACGCGCCATGATGTCGTTACGTCTCGGATGGCCGTGCAACAACAAAAAACAAAGGCGCGGCCACGCGGGAAGAGGCTTGCCTGGGACGCGTCAAGCCTTGCTGCGGGAGCATGGACGACCGACGACAACCGGACAGGCGAGTGTGGACAAGGCTAGCTATACGGTCTTCTTGGTCGTCTTTGTGTCCATCTCTGGTCACGCAAACAAATCTTCACGACGGCGCGGGACGCAAGTTCTTGTTCCCCCGCCTTTTCTTGCTCTGTTGTAAGCAAGTTTCCGTCGGTGGTATCATCATGCGTGGATTTCGGCGTAGGGTAGGATTTTATCAATCTGTGTGGCGCCTCTCTGCCCTTACGGCATCACATCAGCAACACCTGTATCATGTAGCTACCCGTTCCTCACGCTCTCGGAGACGAACAATGGCATGACTCCGGTACCACAAACAGCGATACGAAGACTCCGCCGTGGCTCTTCTTATTACACCCAAGAGCGTCAAACGCACACGTTTCTCTTTGTGTGGTCTGATCCGAGCCATCTCGTTTGATGCTACCGCCGCGCAGTCACAACGTCCGTGGGAGACTGGGTCGGAGTTTACGGAAATCGCGTCATGAGGTGGGTTCAGGCGCGGTCTGGGTGAATGCGTTTCGTAGACTTTTGAGGGTTCCTTGATGTTGGTGATGGTGGTGGGGGTGTTAATTTTGGTATCGATGTCACCGATCACGGCGTGCGTGTGCACGGCGTGCGTGTCGTCGTTTTGAGCGAAATACGGTTGAATTCGTTTTCGCGTTCAGCGAGAGAATTAGGGCCCAAAAGTCCACCCGCCGTCTAGAGTGCCGAAGGGTCCTGTCAGAAGGGAATAATATACCTACATCTCTTCTGGTGGTGTGAAAACGAATCATTGGCGTCGCGGCCGGGAAGCATGCATCAAAGGAGGGTGATTGTGAAGCGCGAACCAAAGACTGCTAATTGCCGGCAGACGGCCCGCTATGGTTTTCTTGGGCAGGCCACGGAAACACTGGGAGTGTCTATGTTCCGCATGCATGCACACCCGTGTCGGAAGGCAGACGTGGTGTTTTGCGCGGGCGTGGCGCCTCAGGATTTCCAGGGAAGAGTCAGTCCACCCAGATGTTTTCCGCCCCAACGACAATAAAATCAACAGGTCTGGGTTTCATCGGTGGTCCGTCCGAGCGAACAAGATCGGCCGTACCGAGAAGTGGAGCGCTTGGGCAGCCATCGTCGGAATCGCCCGACCGCATTCGCAGAACCCTTGTGAGTTGTATCTCTACGTTCGTAGATACGTGTGCATGTTGCTTTCTTGTTACGGAAGTCTCAGCAAGTTGTCGTTGGACACTCAACTCCAACAAACGCCTTTTCGTATTCTGCGGGGTGTCCCTACAGGTGTGTGTGTGTGTGTTTTTTTTTATTATTAGCATCGTCCACGCTAACCGGCTGACCAATTAATAGACGTCAGTGCCAGTGGGTAAAAATCAAGGTCCCTGGAAGGGGGCCAAAATTCGAAAAATGCGCAATGCGCTAGATGCGAATGCCAATACGACTCTCTCTACATATTCTTTCACGTAGACACACATCTCAGCCACACAAATGCCCTCGCTCGAATCTAGGAAGCCACTGATGCAAAAGAGCGGAGGACAGCAAAAGGGTCAATTCAAACCCAGCCGAAGCCAGAATATCGTGGTATGCTGCATCTCCCAATTTGATAATCGCACACTCCCAAGATCCAACAGTCATCGTGTCAGCAGCTAGATGACTCAAACTAACTAGCAACACATACACTGCCATAGCTCCACACATGCCCTCGCCCGAACCTAGGAAGGCACTAGGAAGTCAGTAGGGAGCCAAGTCCTGCTCGCAGGTTCTCTTGGCTTTCCTTCAGGTGAACACGTCCAGGAATCCAGTATCCGCAGCCGCCGCAGTTGTGCTGTACTGCGTAGTAGTAGCAGGAAATCCAGGTTGTGCCCATCCGTTGTCCGAACAAAGATTTGTGATTCCGTGAGAGACGGAGATACGACCGCCGTCAAAGGGTCGAAGGCACTGTCTGCCAGATGTAGGCTGTGTGATAGGTGGTGCCACCTATGTGTTCTTAGCCTGCCCGCCCGCGAGGGTCGTGATGAGGCTGCTGTGTGTCTCAAAGAAGCTGAGATCAAACCAGAAGACTAGTCAACCGCTGACTAGTCTAATGGTTGATTTCTGCTCAGCCAATGGGAGTCATTCTCCTCGGAAGTGAAAAGGGCCGGGGCTCACGAACCCCATGACTAACTTTTACAGACGCCGAAAACAAACCATGAGACTAGTCAGCGCTAACGACAATAGTCTATTGGTTTGATTTCGACTTCTATAGTATTCAAGCAGTTTTGGCACGTTGGAGTATTCCTACACCGTTTTCTCTCAAGGGTTGTGATTGACAGGAACCCATTGATTTTGTGTAGCCTTTTTCGAGCAGCAACCCTTGATGCTGCCCTCGAGGTAAAACGACAAAACTCGCTGGAATGTTTCGATATAGTCACACACACACGCACGCACGCCAAATCTCTCTTTTATCACTCCCTCCCTCCAACACCAGCAAGCACGTTTTGCATTTTTTGCTCCCGCTGTAAGGCTTTGCATATTTCGACTGACCAGTCGATCGATGCTAGCACCCCCCCCCCCCCCCCCCCCCCCCCCCCCCCCCCCCCCCCCCCCCCCCCCCCCCCCCCCCCCCCCCCCCCCCCNCATCACCGGCACGGGCAACAGCAAGCTCGGTGGCAACACGGCCGTGGACACGTACTCCTCGACCTCGATCACCGACGGCGACGTGGTCACGGTGGTGTACGACGCGGACGGGGGCGTCTTGACGTTCTTCGTCAACGGGACTAGCCTCGGGCAGGCCTACTCCGGTCTGTCGGGCCCCAACGTAGCCGCGATCGCCGTCAACGCGGCGGGCGCCCAGTGGGAGTGCGTCGATTGCTAGCAGGGATGGAGGGTGTACTCATAGTCGTGCATGCCGTAGTCGTTAGACCATTGACCTCGCCGCGTTCTCACCGGACCAGGCTCTCACATCACCAAGCGCGAAGCGCCGTGAGGTATTCGGCGAGTCGCATGAAGGTTGCGCTGCATGCTGCTAGCTAAGGGTGTTCGGCATCTTGTGCTTCTTCATCGCGTACGGATGACAGCTGCGTATGACTTAATTTACTTTCTGGTGCTTTCACTTCCAGAGACAGTTGTAAGCACTGTGTAACTGCCTCGAGGGTGCTTGACCATTTTAACACAACGTGGTGCGATCATCCCCCTTGCGCGGAGTGAGGGTTCACCCCGCACAACATGATCTACTCAACCATCATTATGGTTACCGCCCAAAAAAAATAAACGGAGGAAAAAAAAAAAAACGGTAACCTGGTTGCCGAGTTCACGAAGTGAATTGGCTTGTTTTACAACGTCGTTGCCAAGCGACGAAAACCCAATCCCGATGGCAAACACCGGGGGGGGCGGCTTGTTTTACAACGTCGTTGCCAAGCGACGGAGACCCAACCCTGGTGGCAAACACCGGGGAGGGGGGAGCAGGGATGGGGGGGGGCGGGAGGGGGGGGCGTACTCTTAAGTTTTGCATGTCTTAGCGGTTAGACCATTGACCACGCGTCCTCGAGAGGACGGAGCATTGTTCCCACAGGACCGATCACCGATGGCCAATCGTTCCTTTCTACTTTGCCAAAGGTGGCTCAAAAATGTCTTCCCTAGTCTGTCTATCCTAACGATATCCCTTCCCGCCTTTTCAACCCACCTCCTATGCCCCACTACAGCTACCGTCCTTTCCTCTCTATTCCATGCCTCAAACATCTCCCTGTACGTTCCATCTATTTTTCCCAGCTCAGTCACGTACACTTCCCTCTCCTTCTTGTACAACGGACATTCCGCGACAGGGATGGGGGGGGTCTTAACGGCAGACGGAAGAAGATGGAGTTACGGGTTCCCCTCCTGCTGCCACAGCTGCCGCTGCTGAAAAGCGAGAATTTGATACTGGTTCCGTTGGATTGATGGGGTCTCCTCGGCCTTTGCGTGTCAAGTGCCTCTGGCTTGAGTTGGCCCACAGCAGGCTTTACAAGCGCCGCTTCTGGTGTCTTTGGGCTACATCGGGCTCGTCGCTGCTACAGTCGGACGCGAAATCTGCTGTGTGTTGGTTCGAAGTGCTGAATTATGTACAGTAAATAACCGTGTTCGTGTTGGGCAATGAAGTACATCGCCTTCGAAGGCAGCATTTTCCGGTGAAGCGATCGCCCTGGGGCTTGGCATTGCCCGTCCGGACGAAACGAAATCTATCGGGGACCCCGATTCTTCTGCGAGGGCTGTGCCAGGGTGTCCCCCCGGCGTTGGATTTCTTCAAGGCCTCCGTAGTGTACGCAACTTTGAAACATTCGCCTTCTTTCAGAGGCAAACATTAGGAGGTTTGATGCACTACAGGAATCATCACAATTCCCTCAGAACTATGCGAGGGATGAACGAGCAACATAAATAGTTGCGAAAGAAAACCAAAAAGCATCAGACCGATCGGCTTGACGTACGCAAAGAGCACAGCAGTAGTGCTACTCACCAGCACCCACAGCTACCATGCCTCCACCCATCATCGTTCGAACACACAGCAAGACGTGTACGGCACACGCTAAAAAACCAACGACAGCACAACAACTTACAAACTCGCTCTCTTTTTTCGTTTCGTGACGAGTCACGAGAGGACAAAAGGCGCGCACGCACATGTGCAGGCGCGGCCGGAAATCACGCGACGGGCAGGCTGCTGAATAGAGGAACTAAAACCTGCTGCGCAGAAACGAAACTACACGCCACAACAATACAGACGAACTTCAGCCCTGACTTGACTATGAGATGGTGCACAGAGATCAAAATACGGCGGCTTTTTTTGCAGTCTTCGAGTGTTTTGCTCTACAGCAGTCTTGCATAGGCTTACACCGTAGGACCGAGCTCAGCACACACCCGCCCATCGACCCTGGATGCAACGTATCACGTGCGTGAGCTTCTTCTGGGATGGGCGAATTTTTCCGAAACATGACTTATCCTTTTTCGCAAGGATAACTTTAAGAGTACATGCTCTTCACACCGTAACGTTTCAACAGCACCGACGAAAAAAGTGGATTAAAAATAACTCACGGCCGCGTCTTTCATAAAACCTGTAGGATATCATTACAGCACGCAAATAGACAAAAGGTTCCCTTCCCCCAACGGCTCGAAAAGCCTCACCCACACTCAACAAGCAAGGCTCGACTGCCGGGCCTTTATGGGGAGCAGCAAATGTCGATGAGGCGAGTTTGCCTGAGCGACGTACGGCAGGATGGCATGAACCACCCGTTCACCTCCATGGTACTTTTTTACTTCACCGACCGGAGGGTACACCGGCCGTCAGAAACACTTGTCCGAGTTCTCGCACCTCCACGTCAGCCCCCCCTCCCCCACCCCCGAACAGCAGTCGCTGTGCGTGCCTTCTCTCCTCTTCTCCTTTCCGATACGCATGCTCTAGTGCTACTTAGAAGGAGATCGGGGGTTTCAAGTCACGTAAGCCCGTAGAAAATAAATTAATCCGTATTCAAATCCGTTTTTTGTTCATGTGTCTAAAGAGAGAGCTGTTGGTACGGAGTAGACCGTGTGAGAGGTGCTGAATAGGTCAGGGAAGGCGTCGCCTCTTATCGTCCAGACAAAACAACGCTCACGACATCAGCCGCAAGAACACAAGCCCCCTGCGCCAACAAAGACATGTGAAAGAACATGGCCGACGTCTTGCTCCGCGTTCCGCTCGAATCAAGAGCCTATGAACCGGAATCTCCAGCCGCTGCTTTCGTTCGCATGTAACTACGCGGGTTTTATCGAACATCCAAAAAAAGAAACAAGTGTTCTTTCTGCACACCTGCTGTGTCGTCGAATCTCTGGGAACCAGACACACTTCAGCGAACAACGATCATGGCCAACGGGCGCCGCATCCGTCCGCGTCGTACATAGCTTAGCACCGTTGTCCCACCCCCGTACTCTGTGCAGCCAGTCACTCGTTCCAGCACCACCAAAGTTGGACCAGAAGCAGAAAGGCCGCCAAAATATTTTTCATCCCGACGCTGACGACTGCCATCCTACAGACAAAATTGACGACGCTCCCCCCCCGCTGGGGGTCTGGAAGGCTACTACGCCACCAGAGCAATGGTCTTGTCAGGTTTGAGGAGAGCAAAAAAGCGGCCGCAGAACTCGTCTGCCCGCACGAGCAAAATCCGACGACGAAGCAGAACGAGTGAAAAATTATCGCGCGCACTCGATGGCTCTAGCACTTTCGTGACCACGGGCTGAGAGTCTTTTGCTAGATTTTGGCATTTGGCAACTGACATACGGTTTAATGTGAAGACAACAACAACAACAACAACTCCATCTCCCCCAAGCAATATCCATCCATGAAACTGTGCAAAAATGCAAAGACGCAACCAACACAAAAGGTCAGCGCGGCAATTTTCCCCCCACTCCACCCCCAAACCACCATGCCGTCCAGGAATCCTCTTCGAGCGCTTCAACACGCGCGCCCGGTAGCAAAAATGCGGCACAACCGCTACAATCACGCCGCCGCCTTGTTATCTCGGCACGTGCGGCGTCAAACAGGCGAGGGGGCTGGGGTAAATAAGGCTTCTGTTTTCCGTCCAAGCTGACGGAAAGTCAAGCAGCCAGCCCCTCTACCCGAACAACGAACGAGAACGACAAGACCACGACCACCACCCTCCTTGTTCCTTGTTAGTCCAGGAACGTTCCTCGTCATTCTTGGAACGTTCCTCGAAAGCTCAAGAGGAACGGTTCCTCGTCAGCCTAGGAGAGCGTTCCTCGTCATCCTAGGAACGCTGTCGACTTGAGGGTCTTGAACTGCTTGCGTGGGTCCGACGCCGTGCCCTTCCTGCTGTAGTCCCCTCCCATATCTCTCCGGCTGGGGCCGAACTGGCCGCCCCCGCGCCCCTCGAGGCGCCCGGTCGAAAGCCCCACTGGCCTGCCCATCCCTCCGCCGGCGCTAGACGGCTGGCGACGCACGCGAACGTGACAAGCAGAGGAAAAGTGAGAAACACAAGATGAGGGACCGATGAAACCACCAACAACGGCACCAAGAGAGACATGAGCGAGGGAGAAGAGAGAGGGAAAGGGATAGAGGGGGGGATAGAGGGGGGGGTGGGAAACATCGACACGTGTCAAGTCACAAAACACACAAAACAAGAGAGACGGTAGGCGGACAGGACTCGCCGCCAAGCGCGACAACCCTCCCCCAACCTCAGATACCCAAAGCAGCCCATGCCTCCCTCCCTCCCTCCCCCCCTCCCTCCNCCCGCTCTCTCTCTCTCTCTCTCTCTCTCTCTCTCTCTCTCTCTCACACACACACACAAACCAGCCCGCACCTATCCCGCCCCCCCGCTACAACAACCTCCTTCACCCCTACTCCTCACCACGAGCCCGCTCGACATCCTTCCCCCGGCGCCCGCGAGTCCGCTGGCCCTCCTGCCCCCCGCCCCGAACCTCGCCGTGGACGGCTGCCTGGCCGCCGACAAACCCCGAAGGTTGGACGCCTGACGAACCGCGTTCATCGCGCGGAGGTTGGACGCTTGCCGGACGGCCGACACCTGCCGAAGCATCGCCGGGCTTCCCTTGGCGTTCGACGGCTGCCGCACCATAGAGCCCTGCCGCCCTATGCCCATCGTGGATTTCTGGTACGGGAGCTGGCCGCGGGCGATCTCACTGCGCGGGGGGGGGGGGG